TATATAGCTTCTGACCCTCTAACTCGTGGAACAAGCAAAGAGGCTGATATACAGGGTAAAATATATATATGTATATAGATATATCCACATCTAGTGCACCCCACTAGCCGAGTGCGGAATCGCGTGAAATAGTAAAGCAATGTCTGGCTCTCTAAGCCTTCACCATGATGGGGGCCAGAGTCATATTGGCACATTTATGGGAGGTAAAATCCCAAAGCTAACAGAGAAATACCATCCTGGCCGCCAAGCCCTGAGGGAGTCGCAGATGCTTCGTCATATTCGTGGCCCAGGGCTTGCAACAGCGCTGCTAATGCCTGGCGAAAGAATCTTCTAGGGCGATTGCACAGCTGGGAGGAAGCTTGCCCTTCTTGTCAGGTTGGCACTCATTTCAGCACATGGCTGACAAACAATGTTACAGTGTTACAGGTGCCAGTGAGGCAACATCTGTGCACAGTACAGTATGCGGCCTTTGCCGTATCAATGAACGGTCATCACAAAGGCTACACATACTATTGCTCAGTAGCTTATGTTGTGCTCACGCTGCGCTTGTTGCAAAGCTTTGCAGCTGGCGTGACAAGACGTGCATGAGAGCGGGCTGGCGTCGTACCCAAACCATGTTCAGCCCTACACCAATCAACAAGACACAGAAGCACCTTCAATGGCCTGGTGCCCTTCCCTTACATATCTTGCGTCCAGGCATGCAGCACAAACGACACGTCTTCATCCTCTGTGAGACTATGCTTAGTCTCCAATGCATTAGACAGCCTGTTTGAGCCCTGGCCACATGCCTGTGCAATATTGGAACTTTGTTGTGAAGACCTAGTGGGCGACGCTCCGATTTCATCCCAGATCTGTTGCATCATGTTGCATCCATGCATCGGAATTCATTTCTTGCTGCTCCTGAGACCCAAACTTTCCGGCCAGCAGCCCGCGCATGTGAACTCAACATTGAAAATGAAAACATATGCTTCAAAGTTGCTATGGCAAAGTACTGACTAATCAGGAAGGAAATATGGATTCTGCGTTCGGGGCTGTTGAAGCTCGCTTAGCCTCTACGCGATGCCCCAAGCTGGCAGTGAGGATGCAAACAAACGCGAGATGCATGCTGGCCTCTGTGCCTGGAGCTTCTGAAGCTGGTCTTGCACCTGAAGAACACCATGAATGCGACGGGCACTTGTTCAGCTTTTTGAAGTAGCTGGCTGTTTAGCAATAACATCATGCTGCGTCAAGGATTGAGCGGAACACGTGCGTCCAGATTTGCTGATGAGGGTCATGTACTTAGTGCTTGTAGCATTCGATTCCCAATACACCGCTTTAACTAGCTTTCGTGATTAGCAACTTTCGATGCGTTTAGCCCGGCCTTGCCATAACAACCAAAAGTCTCTTGCGCAGGCCCGAGCCACACCATGTTTACAAACCCGCTTGCAAGGACCACTTCCAACATTTTCAGTCAAGTGCATGTTCACAACTTCTTTCTTTCTTTCTTTCGTTCAGGCTTTGGAGGAAGGACTGTTGTCCTCCTCCGGGCGTCTATGCCCAGCCCGTGTTGGGCTGTGTGGTTAAGCTACCCTTCACAACTTCTCTCTCTCTCTCTCTCTCTCTCTCTCTCGCGGAATCAGGTGCCTGTCAGGTTCACAACTTGTTTATCAGATCCTTCGCCAGTCCCATGGATTTTTACAGCTTCTTTGTAAAGTCCCCCGTGAGGGAAGAAAGTTGGGCAGACATGCCCTGGCTTCTATTTTCCGGCAGCTGCCTGAGCTGGTTCAAACATTGCCATGGACATGGGTCGGTTGGGGCAGGGTGGGGACTCCCGAAGTGATGATTAAGAAATGATCTTGGCAGGGGCGGGGTTTGGAGCCTTGTCAGGTTTGCTTTGGATGAAAAAGGTTGCGGGTTCTTAGAGTTAGGGGTCATGCGGATTTGGGGGCTGTGTTGTCGAGTTCGATGGTAGGGCTTTTGAAGCTTCGGAGCTGCGCGGTTTATACTTTGTACGTACTAGGGTGCTGCCTTTGACTTGGGGATTGCAGCGCTAGGATGTCACAGGGCCTCAGGTTTCCAGGTTGGTGCTGCTTCAACACTCGCTTGGCTGAAGCAGGCGACCAGGTATGTTTCCCAACTGCTGGAGTCTCGGGTATGGGCACCAAAACTCACAACAGCCATCACAACTGTCGCAGACACGAAAGGAGAAAAGCAAATGCGACATATATATATATATATGTGAGAG